GGAAAGAGGGAGAGGGAGACGGCACACCCTAATGGGATGTGATCATGCTGCAATCCTGTCTCTTCCATTTCTCTATTCCATTGGGAATTTGGGGTATACATGCACATGTGCCTGGTGTGTTGCTCAAGCCACTGGGGCCGGGATTTGAACTGCATGGTTGGCCATGTGGGATCTGGCTTCCCTCATTAGTAGGCCATAGGACCAGCCTGAGTTTTTTCCTTTTAAAATATATATCTTAGTTTTGTTCACGGAAAAGGTCTGGAACTGTCCAATTACTCAGCCATTGAACACATGGTTGTTTAAATTTAAATGATTTAAAATTAGATCCGAGAACAAATATCTGTCTACTAATTTTCATAGCATTATTATTCAACCTCAATGTCTGAGACAGATGAAAGGATAAACAAAATGTGGTAGGGGGCCAGCCCAGTGGCTTAAGGGAGCCAGAAACCACATGGCCGACGGTATATTTGGAATCCTGGCCTGGGCAACTTGAAAAATATGCTGGGCACATATACGTGCATACCTAAAATGCAAGTGAGATGGATACATGGAGAAGGTCTTGTGGCATGACCATGTCCCATTAGGGGACGTTTCCTCCTTCTCCCTCTCGTTAGCCCTGTCTTGCTCTGGTGAATACATGTGCTCTCTGACAAGTTAAAGAAAAAAGTGAAATGTATATACAATGGAATATTATTCAGTATTAAAAAGGAATGACATTCTAACACATGCTACAACATGAATGAACCTCGAAGATAGTGTGCTAAGTAAAACAAGCCAGATGCAAAAGGACAAACACCGTGATTTCACAAGTAGGAGTTACAGAGAGTAGTCAAATAAAGACAGGAGTAGAACGGTGGTTGCCAGGGACTGGCGGGAGAGAGCAATGGGGACTTTGTATTGAATAGATCCAGGCATCGGTTTGTAATGATGAAGGGGTTTTAGGGGTGGATGGCGATGGTGATTGCATGACACACACACCACACTATTGAACTGTACACTTAAAAAGGGTTAAAATGGTGGACTGACTCCATGGCCTGGTGGATAAGGCAGCTGGATTCTACATGGCCAGCTATGCGGTTTGAGTCCTGAACCCTGCGGCTTGAGAAGCACTCCAGGTACTCGTGTGTGCGTGTCCACAGTTCTGAACGGAAGGACAGGTGAGAAGGGATTGCAGCGTGACTGCGCTCTATGGGGGTGAACGTTGCTTCCCCCCCCTCTCAGGTAAGCACATCCACCCTCTGGGGAAAAAAAAAGTTAAAATGGTAAATATTATGTTATTCATGTTTTATCACAGTAAGAAGTTCAATAAAATTTAAAATT